TCAGAATTCCCAGTAACCTGGGGCACATATAAAATGGATACTAGTCCCTGATGAGATATGGTTTGCAAATATGTTTTCTCATTCTGTGGGTAGTTTTTCACTTTCTTGATAGTGTCCTTTGTAGCACAAGGTTTTAATTTTTAAAATTTTCAATTATTTTTTTCTTCTCTTTTATGCTTAGGCATTTAGACTTTTGTGCTGTGGAGTTAAGAGTGTTAATAGTCAGGTCACATAAAGATTCCAAGTGGCTAACAGCCTGCTGATTCCAGGAGGGGAAAGAATGAGATGGAAAGGATGGGAATAGGGCTGAGTTAAAACACCACAAAACTCTGTTTTCATAGAAATTTAGACTTTTTGTGCATAAAATGCATACTAGTCCCTGATAATATATATACATATGTATCACACATACATATCCACTATATATGGAGAACTCTTACAACTCAACAATCAAAAGACGAAATAGACAACTTAAAAATTGGGCACAGGATCTTAATTGGCATTTCATCAAAGATATACAAATGGACAATGAGCAAATGCAAAGATGTTCAACATCACCAGTCCTCAGGGAAATGCAAATTGAAACCACAATGTGATGCTACAGCACACCCACAAGAATGGGTATAATCAGAAAGACACACAATAACAAGTGTTGATGAGATTGTACAAAATTGGAACCTATACACATTGCTGATGGAAATGTAAAATGGTGTAGGCTCTCTGGAAAACAGTTGGCAGCTCCTCAAAAGTTAAACATGGAGTTACTTATGACAAGCGATTCAATTCGTAGGTGCCTCTATAAGATAGCTGATACATGTTCCCATTAAAACTTGGGACATAAATGTTCACTGCAAGTATTACCCATAATCACCAAAAAATAGAAAAAAACCAAATGTCCATCAGTTGATGAGTGGACAACCAAAATGTGTTATACCTGTAGAACAGAATACTATTCAGCCATAAAAAGGAATGAAGTACTGATATCTGCTGTAACACTGCACGAGGGGGAAGAAGTCAGTTATCTCACACTGCGTGATTGCCTTTATATGAAAGGCTCAGAATAGGGAAACCCACTGACAGTAAATTAGTGGTTGCCAAGGGCTGGGAGAAGGTGAACTGGGGAGTGACTTATGGGAAAATGGTGCAGGGCAAGTGGCACTTAGGGCTGGGGAAGAGAGCAGGTGCTCTATTTAAGGGACATAACTCCTCAGCCACCACCCTCCCCCCCAAAAAGCGAAGATGCTGTTTGAAATGTAAAAATTTCAGAAATAGCAGTATAAGAATACTACTTAGAAATACTGCTATAAATACCACAAGAAATTACTAAAAACTGAGTAGTTAGGCCCACACAAGGCCAGGAACTGACATGGCTGGTTTTTACACTCTCTGCATTTATTACTTTACTATAGATTTGCAAATGATTATTTTAAAAAGAGAAAGACACTGGGCGGCGCCTGTGGCTCAGTGAGTAGGAAAATGGCCCCATACATGGAGGGTAGTGGGTTCAAACCCAGCCCTGGCCAAACTGCAACAAAAAAATAGGCAGGCGCCTGTAGTCCCAGCTACTTGGGAGGCTAAAGCAAGAGAATTGCCTAAGCCCAGGAGCTAGAGGTTGCTGTGAGCTGTGTCACCACAGCACTCTACCAAGGTCAAGAGTGAAACTCTGTCTCTTAAAAAAAAAAAAGAGAGAGAGAGAGAGAGAGAAAGACATTTATACGAAGAAACAGTGCTATCTAAACAATGCAGTGAAAAAGGCATAGCACTGGGGTCAGAGGACCAGATTTCCTCTCCTGGAAATTTAAATTCCCTGTGTGATCCTGAGCTGACCACTGTGGCTTACTTTTCTCATCTGTAAATTGAGGATAAAATTCCCTAAGCTCTTTAGGGAAGAGCTGTTATGTAAGGAGCTGTTATGAGAATCAAAGTAAAAACAGATGATGAGAAAGTATTGTTTAAAAATAAAAACTTATGTAAGAAAAAACCTTATAGTTACCTTTATTAAAAAGTAGCCATACTTCAGCTTTTTAAGAAAGTAACCATATCTCCATGCACTACAAATACTCAAATATTTTAGATTTTACTTATCAAAGTGGACATTCATAATTACTGTGAAATTATGTGTCCCCAAGATTTACTTTAACTTGAATCACCTGGATTAGGGACCAGACTAGAAACAGACTCAAGGGTTAATTCTATAATCTGCCACGCACTTATTATCTACTACAGACAAGCTTTCTTTCCCATGAGAATAAATTATGTCTTCTAGAAATTATGTGCATGGTTATCCTTGCATGCCTATATGTCAGTTTTTTACAAAAACAACACACATTTACCTTCACAGTCAAATCCTCATTACCCAGTGTGACATGAACTTGAATCGGGGGGTAAACACCTTTGTCGGCGTGGTGTTCCATGGTCGCTCTCATAGCGTTCTGAAACACATTAGGGTCACATTAAAAACACAACTTTTTAAAAAAGGCAACTGTCAAGAACATATACACTATTTAAGTTTTTTAATTTGACGGAATTATGCCAAAGAATCACAATTCTTATAAAGATAAATTATTTAAAGAGTTACTTTAAAAAAATAATTGAGTCAATTTTTCAGGGAATTTCAGGGATATTTTGACCTAAGGATTTCAACTAAATTCTACATATTTTCCAAAATCAGATCTCTGAACATTTTTAACCTGTTGACATAAAAGCAGAAAATTCTGTCCAAATACTTTATAATTTCAGTAAATAACAGGCAAAATTTATTTCTGAAAATGTAGTTTCAGCTCTATTTTTAGAATCATTTTGTCGTCAGTTTAAGAGAAAATAATTTTTTTCATATATTATTTTAATCATATTCAGTTTTACTTGTCTTTTTGTTTTTGTTTTTAGAGTCAGTCTCACTCTTGTCGCCCTAGACTAGAATGCTATGGTGTTATAGTTCACAGCAACCTTAAACTCCTGGACTCAAGTGATCCTCCTGACTCAGCCTCCCAAGTAGCCAGGACTACAGGCACCACACCCGGCTAATTTCTCTATTTTTAGTAGAGGTGGGGGTCTTGCACTTGCTCAGGCTGGTCTTGAATTCCTTCTTTTATATAATATTAATAGCAACAGACTTTTTATGAGGGAAGAGATGAATCCCTTCATCTCTCGTTTGAAATTAAGGATATATGCATACACTGTAAAACTGTTTTGGTCAATTTCTAAAAGATACAGGGTATATGGTTCCAACATATTGTAAGCATTAAACAAAAACATGACACGTGGCATTGGAATAGAAGCTGAGAGAGATGAGACTGAACTTGGAAATAAGGGTGTGGCTCTGGCACACCAAACAGCACTGAGTAGCCCTGAGCAGATTCCAACATCTCTACCAAAGGTCACTTAAAGATTAGGTTCTACAGCCATTATTAACTCTGTGTAACATGTTACATCCTATGGAATACTTTTATAACAGAGCATAAGATCTTTTTTTTGAGACAGAGCCTCAAGCTGTCCCCCTGGGTAGAGTGCT